CACAGTCCACCACTATCACAGGCTGAGAACTACTGTTCAATGGTGCATCTCTTACAGGATTCCTCAGCTTTTCTTTGTGTGCTCTTTGTGTGCAAAGTGTGCTCATTTCTTGTGAGCGGATCACCGCTGAGAACCAATGTGGTGCAGCAGATAGAGTGTTCGGAGAAGACCTCCGGAGACCTAGGTTCAAATCTCTGTTCAGCTATGGAAACTCACTGAGAGGTAGCACTGGTGCAACTCCTGAAATATTTCACAGACCTCAAACCTGTGTTAGGGTCACTGCATAATGGATGCAACTTGACAGCACCTTTCGTAGATCATAATGCCTTGTGCTATCATACCCCATTTATGGGGTATCATACCCCTTGTGCTATCATACCCCATTGTCAGCCTCACTGACAAATATACTGTAAAAATGCATGGTTTAATTCTATAGTGGATAGGGGCTCTGTATTTTAAGCAGAGAGAATAGCTATCTACCAGATGAACAGTTAAGTTTAACATATGAATATTACTGATGAGCAAAAATCTGACATTGCTAATTGTGTGTTACACCATCTTAAAATTCTAAAAAGTAGCCAGATTTCAAATGTTCAGAAGATGCTCATGGCAGAGCAGAATCCCTGTTCTTTGCCTTTGAAGCTGAGCCAGACTGTCTTTGTTTATAGCTTCCTAAAAGGACATCACTTCTCTTTTGTTTCCAATGGGGAGGCCAGCTTGTTTGTTTTCATTCACCCTGTTCTGCAGCCTTGCTGTAGGCCAGTGGCTGCAGGACAGCAGTGACACCGGATTATCCTGCAGAGTGCCATAGTCGGTAGATTCATTGTAACAGCCAAGTGGACTGCCATCTCATACAACAGAGAAAGAGGGGGGGAGCAGTTTGCATTTCGTCACACAACCAATTGTTTGAATTAAACTAACTGTGTGAATCCAGGAAAGTTTTCAGACAGAAATTCCCTTGCCGTCAGTTTTAGAATCAGCATACCAATGAATAGTTTGTGTTTTCCCCATGAATCATGGATGGCAGGTCAGCTTTCAGCACACACCAACCTGGTACTTTCCAGGTGCGTTAGACTTCAAGTCCTATTCACAACTACTAGTATGGCACATATCTAGGGGGCATTTTGGATGGAAAGATATTGGTGAAAATGAGTAAATGATTGTAACCATTGTGTAAATAAATATTTACTTATTTATTTATGAGTAAATAAAATGACTGTAACTACTGTGCAATAAACATTCTTCAGTCTTCCATTGTTTAATTTGGCCTTCTGTTTCCACCCTCTCTGAAAAATAAAGGCCAGAGATATTTGGAGAAACGTTGTCTTTTAGAGCAAAGATAGGTAAAGGTAAAGGTACCCCTTGACAATTTGTCCAGTTGTGTCTGACTCTAGGGCATGGTGCTCATCCCCGTTTCCAAGCCATGGAGACAGCATTTGTCTGTAGACAATTTCTGTGGTCACGTGGCCAGTGTGACTAGACACGGAACGCTGTTACCTTCCCACCATGGTGGTACCTATTTATGTACTTACATGCTTTTGAAATGCTAGGTTGGCAGGAGCTGGGACAAGCGACGGGAGCTCACTCTGTCACGTGGATTCGATCTTACGACTTGTCCTTCCGACCCTAGAGCATAGAGGCTTCTGCAGTTTAACCACATCCCCATTTAGAGCAAAGGAGAATATTAAAGTAATGAAGACCATTTCCTCTAGAGAAGAGTTGCTAGTCAGCCAACCGTGAATGTAGGATGAATTCATTTTCCAATATTAATATTATCTCAGGAGTTGGTGAGTGCTTCAATGGTGGAGGAATTGAAGAGAAAATTAGACAACCGTATGTCAGATATACTTTGATTTGGATTCCTGTACTGGACAGGGGTTGGACTTGATGGCCTCATAGGCCCCTTCCAAATCCATTATTCTATTATTCTAATGACAGGAAAGACTCCCCAGCCTAGATCAATTTTTGAATCTGAAAGAGATCTAATTTCAACTTTGAATCACATAAGTACCACATTAAGAGTCAGGCCTACAATTAGCGAACTCTTTTGAAATGGATACTGAAAATTTTGTTTTTGAACAATTAAGTAATCCAAAAGGGCTTAACCATGAAACAAAAGTCTATAAAATAGCTTTGTCATGATAGTCATTACTTTTCCTGCAACATGTACTACATTGTGGTTTTTTTCTTTAATATTCACTGACTGAAACATATTACTTACTGTCCAGGCATCTCTGCCATGGTATTCTTTGGTCTTTTTCTTGCTTTTCATACATTGCTATCTACATAATTGCAGATGAAGTGTGGTCACTCCCTGTCATGAATTAATCATCCTACTGAGCTTGGGAAAGTCTCTGTGCATACTAAAGTTCCCCGAATCCCCCTACCAGTGTGGTCACTTGTCATGCTGGCCTGGAACATTGGAGATTTTTAGTCCAAAAAGGTAAAATGTCTTAACTCTCATGGAACAGATGGCTTGGGTCATTGCAAAAATTAATACTAGATAACTGTCAAGCCACATTCACCTAGAATAATATATTTATAGCTTAAGGAATTTACACCATATATAAGAAGGGATGGGAAGTAGGCCACAATATTTGCCAAAAAGACTTTAAGAATTTTTAAAGCATGGGTCTTAGCAATGAACAGTCCTTTGAAGCCATCAACAAAATGAACAGTTCAATAGATCTGACTGCATCAAAGGCATGATGTAACAGGAAATTTTCCTGTGCAAAACTTAATGAGTGAAATGGAATGTTTCTCAATTCAACCGGAGTGGATGAGAAAATATAGACCTAACCTTCCATCTGAGCACATACTTTAGGAGATAATTTATACAGATATTTTGAAATACTATAGCATTTAGATTGTGTTTACTAGTAAGGAGCATGTGATCTCATTGAATTCCATTAAATTTGTTGAACTTTATTACCTCAGCCCGCAACATAATCTTGACTGATGAATCTGGCTGTTGAAGTATGTCACTCTTGTATTCTTACCCAATGCCACAGCACTTGTAACCAAATGGAAACGTGGAAAGAAATGTTATTAATTTCATATCTGCCCATAAAGCTTCAGTCCTAAGAACAATAACTTGGAAGAAAGTTTCACTGCACACAATGGTTTTCCCCTTTGCATGTAAATGTTAATATTAATCAGTGTGAATGTACATCATGATGTGAATGAATCAGAGTTTCATTTAACTCGGAGGGTTAGCCGTGTTGACAGAACTGTCCATGCCATTTATAGTTATAGTACTTGTTGTAGTTGTAGTTGTTGTAGTTGTTGTAGTTGTTGTAGTTGTTGTAGTTGTTGTTGTTGTTGTTGTTGTTGTTGTTGTTGTTCCTGCTGCTGCTGACTGGCCTTCTTAAACAATTGGTATGACTTATGAAGATTCAAAGATAACATTTGGATGTATTCTAAATGATGGAATAGCTGACAAATACTGTACTTGTAGGTGACTGATCCAGGAAGGCTTGAAGACCTTCATTTCTGTTCTTCTTGTGTTCATGCTGTTAGGCAGTTCTGGTTAATCTAGAGCAACTAGCCTATAAACATTGTTATGCAATGTCTAGGGTAACCATATGAAAAAAGGACATCTTTAGTAGTTGAATTGAAGCTCAGTGGGTTGAAGCATTTGGCTGCAGAGCCAGAGATTGGGATTCTAACCTCCACTCTGCCTCCATGAAGAGGGGCCAGCTGAAATCATTGGATGTGTGTGTGGCTTGGAGGGCTGTTAAATGCCTTGCCAGCTGTGCAGCTTTGGGAACACTGCACTGTTCTAGAATGCCACCAAAGGGAGGAACTGGTAAACCACTTCTGAGTATATTTAGAGAACCCTTAGAGGGTCACCATAAGTAGGAATCAACTTGATGGTACATAATTGAATCATATAGCTTGCATGACAAGTTGTACCTTCTGAAATGCCCCCTTCTCTGCTCGTATTAAAAACACAGGAGCCCTCTCCTCTTTTCCATGTTTTCATTTCAGCAGTGCCCCCATGTTGCGACTTTGGTACAGTGTACGTTGGACTGCATGGAATGAACTTTGGGGAATGGATGTGTGGCTCCCCTTTCTAACACTTATATTATGATAATATGACCTCTTCTAACTCTGGATGTTATGCTCCTAGTGTCCATACCCTTGAATATACACACAGTATCATAGGCACACTCTAGAATTACAGTTGTTCAAACAAAGCTAATTTATAGATCATTGTCTGAATATAACACTTCATAAAGAATCTTTGTATATCTACTATTTTAAATTTGTTTAACAAACATTATTGCAGACCATTTTTACAAACAAAACTGTGTCATTAACTCTGAAATACCCTCCATGCTTATTTGGGTACACATACTGACTCTGGTGACTACTTATTGTAATTGTTGGATATTGAAACTCATCAGTCAATATACTTTTTGGTATTTCCTGATCACAGTGGATGTTACTTCTTTTGTATGATACATCTTGCAGTTCCTAATTATTGGCTAGCTAGAAAAGGCTCAGTTTCCATCATGCACAAGACATACACATGGGAGTAAATGGCCAAATACAGTTTATTGTCCCTAAGGCCACTGACTTAGATCAGTAGCCTTAAAGATCTCAGCCTGAGAATAAATCATATAAGCTTTGGAATTCAATTTCCACACTCCTTATATTGTTTTCATTGAGACCAGAATTCTGACTGTATATTCACCCACACATTTTGGTGTTCTTTACACTATCTATGTGTTTCAAGCTGTCCTCTAATGTACATATATACCCAGACAGCAAATAAGTCAATACATACATAATGTATTGACTTATTTGCTGTGTGGGTATATATGTACATTAGATTCTAGACTATATTACATATAGGCTGGAATCCTGTTGCTTAGTTGCACTCAAGTAGGCCCACTGAATCAGTGAGAATTTAGTGAGTTAACTCCTCCATAAGTGCCATTGATTTAAATGAACCTACATGACTTGTGACTTACTATGCTAAGTAAAAGAGTTTGAGCCACAATGTACTGTATAATTAAATCCTTATGCATACCTAGGGACCTGGAGCTCCGTCCTTATAAGAGACCCCTCAAAGTGCCTTTTAAAATGTATTTGCCCTGTAAATGACCAATCTAAAGCTGATACATTTTGTTTCTTTTCTGGAAAAGCCGCCTCTTTCATTTCCCACACTGTATTTCCTTTGGTCCTGTTAAATTTTAGAGTCAGCAACAGCACCCTAAACCTTGGTGTTTATATGTAACATGTTTCCTTCTTCTATTGTTATTGGAACAAATAATCCCGGGTCTTAAAATAAAGTATGACAAGCTTATAGGGGAAAGAGACAAAAGTCCGTCTCTAAAGATGCTAGAGAAAATTATTCTTAAAACTTGTTGATGAAACAAGTGGGCCGAAAATAGGCAAGGGGGGGTCAGCACCCAGAAACAGCAACCTGGGGGGCTTTTCTGCTTGGGAAAAAAGGAGACCAGGGCATTCTCCCTCCTTTCCTCTTCCTGGGAGGGTCAGCCTGTGTAAGGCCCGGTTCCTTCTTAACAGGGCAAGGTAGGGAACCAGTGCGATTAAAGGCGGGCAAGGCAGGAGGGCTTTTTCCTCCCAACTGGTGTGCAATTGACAGATTCCAAGAGACCAGGCCTGAAAATAAATAGAAGGTGATCTGCCCATTGGCAAACAGGGTTCAGTTTCCACAATAAAACAAAACTTAAAAAAAAAAACAACAACCATCTTGCCGCACTGGCTGGTCAGGTTTTGTTTTGTTTTTTGCCACCCACACCTCTCCCAGCCCTTCTGAAATGCGCTGAAAGGAACCTGTCGCGTTGTAACCCCTTTGTTCTTGGTTTTAACCCCCAGACCTGATGTTTGTACGTTGGCGGCCCTGGGAAAAACTTAAGCCCCCTATAATTCTGCCTGCTTTCGAGGTGGGGACCCCCGGGAAGGACACTAGTACTGTAGTCGTTTCGGGATTTTTTCCCCAAGTGGAACAAGTCACGAGTCCGCCACAGCGCGACTAGGCGGACTGTGGCTTTCAGGCCGGCGTTCTTGGTCCCTCCAGTTCCATGACGGCCGAATCAGAATAACTTCGAATATTTCGAGAAAAGGTGACTTTCCCATTAAATCGGCCATTTGGGGCGGGCGGAAACCGCAACTTTCGCAGTGAAGGGGCATATTTCTTTCGACGTCTCTCCTTAGACTCCAACCTGTTCGGTTGAAGTTGGTGAGTACGATTAAAAGCAAAGATACCGGTCGAGTCTCAATCTTTGTTATTATTTTTGAAAACAAAGAGAGAGCTTGAATTAGACCTTTCCCTCCACGCCTTCCGTTTCGGTCATGGTCCCCCCCCCCTAAAATATCGTCTCTCCATTCAAAAGGAAGTCGCCTGGAATGAAATGGATAACTTTAACCATAACAATAAATGTTTATATGCCAACATCTGTAAGCAGATGGCATTCTTACCACACAGCCAAATATGATCTGATCAAATTCCGCGGCCCGTGGTTGCTGTTTTGCTCCTTAAACGTGTCTCCTCTCTTTGTAAGCTGAACGCTGAAGGGATATACTAAGTCACAGGGGTATCCCGGATGTACCCAGACACGTGTCTTCTCTTTTCTCAAACCGTACTTAATCTCTAGCTCTAAACACATTTACCTGCAAAAAAAGAGAGAGAGAAAAGAAGAAGAAAAGGCCTTCGGTTCTATTGAGCTTAACAGGATTTAGTTCTGAGTGCGGAAATTGTCCTTAGAAGGATCCTTGTTTCAAGTGAAAAGTTGTCTTTCACTTTTGAAATGTGAATCATTTATTTAATTGAGAAGCGATTCGGTTTTTGAGGATATGAAAATAGGGCTTTCCCCCCCATTTTTTTCATATTTATATTTAACCCTGGTTCGTTCTCTCTTTTTTAGTGGATGGGGGAAAAGACACTTACTGGAACAACTCCATTATTCCAAAGCATTTGTCAGTGTTTGCGAACATTAATCTTTGTTGGTTACATTTGGGGCCACACATGAAATATTTTAAAGGCAATGGCCTCCGTTCAATGAAGGAATGATTTCCATAGGTTTAAAGAGCATCACTGTGAGGCAGTGTGTTGACGATTTGATTTAGCTTTATTTTTCATTTCTCTTGATTATTCAGCGGACAGTTCTTAATAGACATTTTAAAATCATGCTATCAGGACACATGCTTAACTCGCTTTCTCTCTGATAGCAATAGGATTTAAGCGTCCTTTTCCTTGAAGCGTTTACTGGAAAGTAAGAATCAGTAACCCGACTAGAACTTGTAATTGTTGGTAGCTGTTGGATTAGGCGTAGAGAGTTTTAGATTTCCGTGTTTCATAGACAAAGAGAAACAAGTGGGCTTGTAGTGTTGGTTTCTTTCAAATCCTCACCAATAATAATAGTAATAATGATAATAATAATGTTTTGAGTTGCATGGCTTTCCCCGCTTTCAGAATGTTGTTTCTATGAATATCCTGATACAATGAATCAACCCTACTCATCACCCTGAGCCCATCCGTTTGATGGAAAGCGATTAATATTTCCTGAACTAGGGCTCTTTAAATGAAAGGAAAGTGATTTTCGCCTTTCATTACTTCCTGAACTGCCTAGTCAATATCACTGTCGAGCTTTTCGTCCCTTGTATAGCTAAGGGCATAATAAGTCGATGTGCTTTTCCTTTTCAATTCTTTCCATAACACTGACAAAAACAAATCTTCAGTGGAAGATCTGCAATTAGTTTCAGTGTGATGGAGCCTGCAACTTCAGTTTTCACTACTAAAGTATTATTTCAAAGACCATTTTAAATGGGCCTTAGTTTACAAATAAACCCTAATTCTGCAACATAATTTATTTGGGGGTGGGGATTTGCAATGCATAGAATTTCTCTTTGACAGACAAAGAAAAAGAGAGAAATAAAAAGACAGGATCACTTAGAAAATCTATTATTACCAGACTCACACCCAGTACTACCCTAAAGGGCTGGAGATGAATAGGAATAGCAGCCTGCGTTCTTTGAATGTGTCCACACTGTGCAGTTACAGTAGCCTGAAGCTAGTTCAGCTGCCATCTCCCCATCCTAGGAATTTTTGGCTGGATAATTTGATTAAATGCTTGGAATTATTTGCTGCAGAGCTTTGGCACAGGCTGCTGAACTACGGTGGAAAAATCTGGTGCACCTCCCCAAATTATACATCCCACAGGATTCTGTAGGGACAGTACTATGGCAACTGAAGCGGTATCTAAATGCTATAATTGCGTGGTGTTGATACGCTCTTGTGGAACCATCTAGCCAGTTTTAAAGGCAACTGCTCCCAGGTTTGTATAGAAAACAAATACAATGTCCTAGCTACATTGAACTGTTGATAGCACAATCTTATCTTGTCTTCTCAAAAGTAAACCTTACTGAGTCCAGTGAGTCTTAATCCAAGGCAGACTAACATAAATAATTTGGTGTGTTGTATTTAAACTCACTTGAAGATAAAGTTAACATATCAAGCTACACTCGTATGTCGTATTTCTGCTTACTTTGTCTGTGGAAGCGTTATAACGATGTTTTTATGCTACCATAAATACCATATTGTGTAGACGGATCTCGCGAGGGCGAAGTTAAGATCTAGCAACAAGCAGACCCACCCATCGTGGCCATAAACGGCCTCCGGTCAAGGTTTACTCACGAGGAAATGGTTCTGCGTTAAATGAGACTTAGTTCTAAAGGTGCGGTGGCTTGCAGAAAGCAGCTTTACTTACGCCCGGATCTGGAATCCGCTGTACAGAGAATCCACCTCTTCTGCAATTTGACCGCAAAAAAATCAAAGAAGTTGCGAATGGGAGTTCTGGTTTAATTACGGTTGTCATTATGTTTTGGTGGAGAGGCGGTTGCAATGTGTAAAAGGAACAAGCTTAATTCTACTTTTCTTTTAATAATAATAATAATAATAATAATAGTAATAGTAATAGTAATAGTAATAGTAATAGTAATAGTAATAATGCTGATCTTGTTAAAGTACACAATTCTGCTTCGTCGCTGATTGACTTCAGGGCAACGGCAACCGAAAGAACGAAGGAGCTAGGACATCGCCATCCCTGGACAATAGACAAGGCTTCAGTCCAGACCCCGTTAGTGACGCTCCGATCCTTCCCAATGGAAAGCTGGGCGAAAGTGTCTGGAATGATCTCCCATCGATATCAGTGCTCGACTACAGCGGGCACGTTCGCTTCGCAGGAAGCTGCGCGGCTCAATGGTTGAGGAGCCCCACTGGGTTCTGAGGCGGTGGGTGGGCTGCAACCTCCCTTGCCTTAGACCCCACCGTGCTGTTCTGTTCACTTGTTTGCTTATTATGCCAGGGAGTTTCGCCATGCTGGGTTTGACCAAAGTGGGCATGCAGGCAGGAAACAGTGACTTTGCCAGGGCCGAAGAGTTAACTCTCCTCGCACGTCCCCATATGTGGGTCACAGCAGAGAGAAAGTAATCCCGGGGGTCCTTCATCTCCTGGGCCCTTTCTACCCCTTTCCGCTCCCCCACTTCTGAGTCTGGACTTCTCTTTGTTTTGGCAGAGGGGGGAGGAGAACGAGAGCCTCTGCTCGGAAAGCCTCCGTCGGGCCGAGGGCGACTCCTTCCCTTCCACCGAGATGCTTTGGCGCGGCAGCGTGGCTTCTGCTGCTGTAGGCNGGGTGGGGGGGGGGGATGACACGGGCCGCAAGGCTGCCGCGACACCTGCGGAAGGAAATGCCTAGCCGGGAGGTGGGGAGGGGGTGCGGGTTGACAGAGAGAGAGAGAGAGATTGGGATCCCGGTCAGCCTGGGTGGTCAGGCGGAGAGGAGGCCCCGGCCCTAAGCCGCCAACGCCACCGACCTCAAAAGAGCAGCGGCGCTGAAACCCAGCAGGCGCCCGGCCGGCTTGGTTTCCGCCGGGGCCAGACCTTGGCACCTCGGGCAGGGCGGAGATAGGAGGCGGAGAGACCCCTTCCGATGAGCAAAGGCAGCGGGATCCCGGTCAGCCTGGGTGGTCAGGCGGAGAGGAGGCCCCGGCCCTAAGCCGCCAACGCCACCGACCTCAAAAGAGCAGCGGCGCTGAAACCCAGCAGGCGCCCGGCCGGCTTGGTTTCCGCCGGGGCCAGACCTTGGCACCTCGGGCAGGGCGGAGATAGGAGGCGGAGAGACCCCTTCCGATGAGCAAAGGCAGCTGCGAGGCGTCCCGCTTGCCAGCCGCGGCAGGCTTACTCCCGAGTAGCCCCGCTGTCCCGCGTGGTCCTTTGGCGGAAGTCCGACCCCGCGGAGTTCAGTGAGGCTTAACTTCCTAGGAAATACGCGCGGAGCTTCAGAACATTTCTATAAACAGGTCGCTCGGACGTGTTTGCCTGCGTCCAAATAGAGCCGAGCCCCCGCTGGGTGCCTTACAACTGAAGCGGGAAAGAGGTTTCTCGCTTCTCTGCAGGAGCCAACTCAAGATTCCCAGAAAACAGGCGTGTAAACTAGACATCCAATGGCATAAGACCCAAGATCCACAAAAATCAGGGAGGTTTTTAACCATTGACCAGAAGCATAATTCTCAGTTATCAATTAAGGTTCTCGATTCCTGCTTTTAAAATACAGTACGCGCGCGCGCGCCCCGTGTTTTGTCAACTTTAGTTATCTGCTTGCAGAGATTTCCAGTGAAAACACGACTTACAAGTTTTTGTAAATAAAAAATATTTAGTGGGAGGTTGATGCTTATTCTTTTGACTAGGACCTACAGTTAATTTTGCTTCTAGGCTATGAAAATTGTATCAGTGCAGCTTATATAAACAAGAGCTTAAATGAACCGCAGTTTAAGACACCCAGGAAAATAGAAAGTAATTTCTAGTTAATATTGGAGCTATAGTATGTAAACTATAATGCCAGTATACCGTTGCTTAGCTCAACTAAGGATAAACGTGTTGAATCAAAAGCAAGTCAACACTTATATAAATATCATTAGATCAATGGATCTATTTTAGTCAGTACTCTCAATAGGATATTGAAGATATTCTCAAAATATTGATAAAATATAATTGTTTCACTCCCATGTATGTTTACACGGACATATATCCCATTAAAAGGAACCAGTGAACTTTCATAGCAAATTCTTAGGTTTCAGGTCCATGAGTCCTGAAAAGCTTGGTAGAGCCAAATATCTGAATATATTACTTTTCAAGGCTGTGATCAATGTCGCATCTGCTGGAGAGCAGATTGTACAAAAAGTGGTGAAACATCATATGTTTGCAAATGACTATAGGAAATATTGACAAATTACTGTACTATTAATGTTTAGTTCTGAACATTTTTGTTTTTGTATTCTGACTAATGGAATATAACAATAGGTCCCTACTCAGAAGTAAAGACCACAGAATTCAATCGGATTTACTGCGAAGGGCATGCACAGAGGATTCAATTCTATGTGTTTTCTATAATTTATCAAATAACAATTATCAATTTTAACACCTTTAAATGAATTCTACTGTGTAAAAAGGAAAAAAAGGACTGGACCAAGGAATTACAGTCATTTGGGGTTTTTAGTTTTTAAGAAATCATACACATGCAATTCAGGGTATGGTGTTTGGTTGTCAGGGGTTATAAATTTCAGATTAGAATGAGATGAGCATGACAGTATTTCTAATTATTGAGCTTGTATTTCTACTCCTCCATATCAAACGTGAGCAAATTCATTGTATAAACAATGATAAAAAATTTTAATGCAGCCATCCCATATCTACTTACCTGAGGGTAAGACCAATTAATTCGGTGGGGACTGCTTCTAAGCAGACGTGTATAGGATTTCACTGCCAGTTACAGTTTCAGGAAGGCTAATCCTACAAATTAAAATAATAATAATAATGTCAGTGGCCCTCACTAGCAATTAAATGACAAAAAAGATCATGATTTGAAAAAGAATCAATGCAGGGCTTCTGCCCAGCTCGTTTAGAGGAGGAAAATGACTGCGACCTTTGTGTGTAAGAATTGCAATGACAGCCACGCTCTCTACTTTCTCCTTGAAGAGCTTGGGAGGGGGCGACGTGAACTTCAGCCCCACAAAGAAGGAATGAAACACATAGCGTTAGCAACGGAAATACAAGACCTGATCCGATACAGCCTCCCTTCCTTAAAAAAAATCTTCTCTTCCTCTTTCTCTCTATCTCTCTCTCCCTCACACACACACACACTAATAATAATAATAATAATAATAATAATAATAATAATAATAATAATAATAATAATAATAATAATAATAATAATAATAATAATAATAATAATAATAATAATAATAATAATAATAATAATAATAATAATAACCTGACGACTGGTAGCTGTTGCTGCGGTCAAGATGAACCAGGGTTTAGAGGTCATGCGGAAAACATGGAAATGGCTCGTCTTCGCTGAAGGTCCAGCAGGTTACTCAGTTGATAGGCTATCGTCCAACACCTTCCAGAGACCGCTGCCTCAAGGCCGGCCTTGGCGTGGGATTGCTCCGAAACGACCTGAGAGCTTGTGTGGGAGACCCCGTCCCGGACGCTCCCGAGGCATCCCATTTGACCGGGGGTTGCCGGGGGGGGGGGAGGAAGGAACCATACGCTCCCCTAACCGTTAGCTTTTTATAGTGGTCTCTCAGGAAGCTGCTCTATCTCCATCAAATTCCACCCACCCCACCTTTTGCATCATTGCATCTTTGTTTCCCTGGCTGTCTTTATATTCACACCTGCGGAGGCGTCAGCGAAATCAATCCCTACCTGAGTGACATGTTTTTAAACATCTTGTCTGGAGAAAGCAAGCAGGCGAAATGCCAGAGGGACTTGCTTTTGAAACCCTGGGGGGAATAAAGGTCGCGAGGACGCGGTTCCACCTTTCACCAGGACCTATGGGGGAGAATATGTTGACTGGGCAGGGTGCCCGAGCCCCATTAATTTTAATTGAATATCACTTCCGTGTATTCTTAATTCTCTGACACGGTTGGCTCCTAACGATTATTAGTATCGTAAAATGTATGAACTGTACACTGTGTTCTTAGACAAGGAGAGGGTGAAAGCAACCCTTCCTTGTAAATGATGTTTTGCAGCGAGTTTTTGCGATCTTTCAAAGCCACTCTGCCACCTAAGTTCGCCAGCCTCTTCCTCTGGAGAAGCCTCGCTTGACTTCACCGAAGCTGCTGCTCGGTTTGGGGCGGCGATTATTTCTGACTTCCATCTGTAGTCACCATCCCTCGCTGCGCTTTGAGGAGCCCATACCTTTTCCGGATGAGATTAGTGTAAATCAGAGCGGAGAAAGGTGCCCCTTCCCTTTTCCTTCTATTCCTTCAAGCTCTACTTTTACTTTTTCTCCTCCTCGTTTTCCTCTTAAGCTGCCTCGTGCCTGTGCAAAGATGCAGCTCCTTTCCTGCGTGAAGGCTCTTGGTTTGTGCGTGTTCTTTGCTTGCCACCGAATTCTCTCCCACCAACCCTCCGCTTCCCACCCTTTCCACCACCACCCCCGCCCCGGTTGCTCCGGGACCCCCTTTGGCTTCAGCATCTGATTTCCTTGCTGGGGTGTATTCCCTGAGCAATGTGACTTCACCATGAACTCGCCCGTNNNNCCCCGAAGCGGGGTTGGGGGGGGGAGAGAGAAGGTGTGGGGGGGGACTGAGAGAGAGCGAGCGAGCGAGCGCGAGCGCGCGCAAAGAAAGGGATCCTGACGAAAGCGGAACTCGCCAGAGCCCATACAAATCAGAAAAGAGCGAGTCCAGAGGAGCAGTGCGTGGATATCTGAGCCTGCGGATCAGAGACGGCGCTGGGCTGGCTTGCCTCTTGAAACCGAGACAGAAAGGCGGCGGCGGGGGGGGGGGAGACCCCAAAACCCACCAAGCTCAGGCTCAGGGTTTAAAGCAGGCAGGCGAGCTAGGCAGCTGGAGCAGAACTTCCTGCGAGATCTTGGGGGAGTCGCCCGCCGGGATCTGGTGCGCCTGAGTGTGTGCGTGCGTGTTCGTGGAGGGCTTTTGCCCCTTGGGTCCCCACCGCCGGAGCCCTCCTTCGTCGAGGGCAGCAGCAGCAGCAGCAGGTGGGTGCCATGATGACCACCAGCTACCAAGACCCCCCTCCCGAAGAGACGGTGTCCCTCTTGCATCAGGCAAAGGAGCCCGGCCTCGGCGAGCCTGGAGCCAAGGGGGAACTGAGTCCGGCTTCCAACAAGACCTCCTCGGCGGCCTCGGCCGTGGCGGCGGCGGCGGCGGCCGCGTCGTCGGAGAAAGGCGACCCTTCGCAGAAGCCGCCCTACTCGTACGTGGCGCTGATCGCCATGGCCATCCGCGAGAGCGCCGAGAAGCGGCTGACCCTGTCGGGCATCTACCAGTACATCATCAGCAAGTTCCCTTTCTACGAGAAGAACAAGAAGGGCTGGCAGAACAGCATCCGCCACAACCTGAGCCTCAACGAGTGCTTCATCAAGGTGCCGCGAGAGGGCGGCGGAGAGCGCAAAGGCAACTACTGGACCCTCGACCCGGCCTGCGAGGACATGTTCGAGAAGGGCAACTACCGCCGCCGCCGCCGCATGAAGAGGCCT